AGCCCTGGAGTGGCCACGACGTCCCCGGGGCTGTCTGAGCGTCCCCCCTGTGCCTTGTGGCTTCTCCGCCTGGGACAGGGGTGAATCTCGGCTGTGACCAGGTGACGAAAATGCTCCTTCTGTCCCCGACAATAAGCGATGGGAATGGAGGTAGCGGAGATAAGCACGCTCTCCCTGAAGGCAGCATCCGGCAGCCCACGCCTGGCAAGGCAGGACTGAAGCCACACCTTCCTGCATTCGCCTTACCTGTGCTCGTGGCTGTCTCACAGCGCGGAGGAGAGAGCCCGGAATAAAAACCACAGCGCCGGGGTGAGAAAAAGAGATGGTGGCAGCTCCCGCTGCCGACACACATCCCAGGCACCGGCTCTGCCGGCTTTGATCGAGCGTGCCAGGTCTCTCCTCAGCAATCACCAGGAAATTGATGTAAACACTCCGGCAGCTTTTTGAGAGCTTTCCTTCCCCTGCTTGAAAAGAGACACAATCCCTCGTGCTTGAGGATGCAGCACAGATTATCTAGTCAGGGGCCGTGATTATCTCGTCAGGCTCCGCGGTGTTTAATTAAGTTGTTTATCGTGCTGTAGGTCTCCATCCCGCCTGCAAGGGCTCCCTGGCACCCCTGGCAGGCCGGGTGGAACCCGCGGGGCGCACCGCGGGTGGCAGAGCTGCGGGAGGATGCTCCGGGGGATGCTCGGGGGGATGAGGGCTTAAACCCTGGCAGAGCTGCGGGGGGATGCTCGGGGGATGCTCCGGGGGATGAGGGGTTAATCGGCTGGCTGAGCTGCAGGAGGATGCCCGGGGGATGAGGGGTTAATCGGCTGGCAGGGATGAGGGGTTAAACCCTGGCAGCGCTGCGGGAGGATGCTCCGGGGGATGCTCGGGGGGATGAGGGGTTAAACCCTGGCAGAGCTGCGGGGGGATGCTCGGGGGATGTTCGGGGGATGCTCCGGGGGATGAGGGGTTAATCGGCTGGCTGAGCTGCAGGAGGATGCCCGGGGGATGAGGGGTTAATCGGCTGTCAGGGATGAGGGGTTAAACCCTGGCAGAGCTGCGGGAGGATGCTCGGGGGGTGCTCCGGGGGATGAGGGGTTAAACCCTGGCAGAGCTGCGGGAGGATGCTCGGGGGATAAGGGGTTAATCGGCTGGCAGGGATGAGGGGTTAAGCCCTGGCTGTGCTGCAGGAGAATGCTCGGGGAATGCTCCGGGGGATGAGGGGTTAGTCGGCTGACAGAGCTCCGGGGGATGCTCGGGGGATACTCGGGGGATGCTCGGGGGGATGAGGGGTTAAGCCCTGGCAGAGCTGCGGGAGGATGCCCGGGGGATG